CTACCCCTACCCCGGCACATTGCTACCGCGGCACATTGCTTCTTCATCATGGCTTCGGCTTTCCAGCTGGCGTCGGCACATTGCACACCATTCACCAACCTACCTTGGTTTTGGTGATGTGCGGAGGACAGTGCGGGGTAAATGAGGGTTTAGGCTTTCCACATTGCTTCTTCATCATGGCTTCGGCTTTCCACATACCTGTCTTCCGAACCTAACTACCAGACCAGACCTCCTTACCTGCCAGTCAGGCACGGGCAGAATGGACACGGACGGGCCCAGCTTGCTGGTGAGCTTTCGTTTTAAGCCTTCCACCTCTGGGGGGGGAGTGGATGGGGTTGAGAGCGGCAACAGGGGGGTGCAATGGGGTTGAGTCCGATGTACATGCAGGGACACATGCAGCACGTGCCTATGATCACACGGACCCAGCTTGCTGGTGAGCAAGGCAAAGGTGTGATCCCAACATGGGCGTGAGTGGTGTGATGGGCCTGAGTGGTGTGATGGGCGTGAGTGGTGTGATGGGCGTGAGTGGTGTGATGGGCGTGAGTGGTGTGATGGGCGTGAGTGGTGTGATGGGCGTGAGTGGTGTGATGGACGTGAGTGGTGTGATGGGCGTGAGTGGTGTGATGGGCCTGAGTGGTGTGATGGGCGTGAGTGGTGTGATCGGCGTGAGTGGTGTGATGGGCGTGAGTGGTGTGATGGGCGTGAGTGGTGTGATGGGCGTGAGTGGTGTGATGGGCGTGAGTGGTGTGATGGGCGTGAGTGGTGTGATGGGCGTGAGTGGTGTGATGGACGTGAGTGGTGTGATGGGCGTGAGTGGTGTGATGGGCGTGAGTGGTGTGATGGGCGTGAGTGGTGTGATGGGCGTGAGTGGTGTGATGGGCGTGAGTGGTGTGATGGGCGTGAGTGGTGTGATGGGCGTGAGTGGTGTGATGGGCGTGAGTGGTGTGATGGACATGAGTGGTGTGATGGACATGAGTGGTGTGATGGACATGAGTGGTGTGATGGACATGAGTGGTGTGATGGACATGAGTGGTGTGATGGACATGAGTGGTGTGAAGGACATGAGTGGTGTGATGGACATGAGTGGTGTGATGGACATGAGTGGTGTGATGGACATGAGTGGTGTGAAGGACATGAGTGGTGTGATGGACATGAGTGGTGTGATGGACATGAGTGGTGTGAAGGCGGAGGGATCGAGTGTATCAGAGCCCTCCTATGCTTCTGCCTCTTGCGCAACAATTCTCTGCTTTTGAGCCAACTAAAAAGCAGACTCATTACACGCGGTGACTTTTGAGTCGACTCAAAAGCAGACTCATAACACGCGGTGACTTTTGAGTCGACTCAAAAGCAGACTCTTGCGCATCTGGCAACTTTTGAAACGTCTCACAATTTTTCTGCTTCGTTTTCGGAGATTTTCACCACGGTCCTTCCACCGCAGGAAACAAGACCTAATAACGTTGACTTTTGGGTTGAGGGTTAAAAGTAATCTTTGCTTCTTTTTCATATGTTCTCTCGTGGTACATCAAAGGAACCAACCTCCGCCCAGACCACGTACCATCTTCCCCAGGTTTCAGCCTCCCTCCGGGCAGCTTGAAAAAGGAATTTCCGATCTGCAGCAGAAGGATGTGCGGGTGGTTGTGATGATGCACTAATATAATCCCCTCCACGCTTGTTCTCATGCCCTCCTTCTGGTAACTGGGGCCAAGGAAAGGGTGGAACGGGAGGACAAGGGGGGTTGCAGCGGCAGGATGTGCGGGCGGGTGGTTGTGGTGATGCACCAGAATAATCCCCTCCACACTCATCCTCATGCCCTCCTTCTGAGAACTGGGGGAAGAGAATGAGAGGGCAAGGGAAGGAGGTCAAGGGAGGGAGGGTAAGGGGTTGCAGCAGCAGGATGTGCGGGTGGTTGTGATGGTGGACTAATATGATCCCCTCCACGCTTGTTCTCATGCCCTCCTGATAACTGGTGGGTGGGCAGGCAAGGAAGAAGGAAAATGACAAACAAGAGGGAGGTGGATAGATGGTGATTGTGGTTTTTTTGAGACGTCTCAAAAATACCCTTAATACATGTACCAATATAATTCCCTCCCTCCCCTCACCCCATTCCCCCTCCTTTATTACGCACTTGTGTTTCATCCGCGCCAGTCGGTCCGCAACGGACGTGTCCTTCTCGATTTTTGGCTCCTTCACGCCAAACGAGTAGTTCTCTAACGGGTATATGTTCACCACCGGCCCACCCACCATGCTGACGGGATTTTCACAGCAGCTTAACGAATAATTCTATAACGCGACTTCTATATCGAGAAACCTATAGCGAATACGTCCACGGCGAAGGGCTCTGCCGCGAAAAAGGCTATAGCGAAGGCGCTTACAGCGAAGACAACAACCGAACAACAGGAAACGGCAAAATAGGTAACCCTATTAAGCAGATTATGACATTTCGCAGGCACAGCCCGCCGACAGAGACAAAAGGAATGGAGAGTGTCGAGGCTGAAACAGAGAAGAATCGCCTTCAGCGAGGACCACTATAACGAGTATCGATTCCTATAATGCTTGAGGCAGCTTTCCGCGGGTACAGCCGTAGAGAAGGGGACCGACTGAGACGAGCCGAATGGAGAGGCTCGAGGCTGAAACAGAATCGACGCGGGACGAGCGACGCGGTCGCAATGAGAGGAGCTGGTACTAGCGATATCGATACTGGCAACGGTAAACCCGCGGGTCGCGGGTTAAGTTCAGACGCGCAGAATCTATAAGGCTGTTCTCTAGGGCAAACGTCGTTGGAACCAGCAGGAGTGGGATGGTTGCCGTCAAGGGCGGCATAATAGGGCGGGGGAGACCACCAAGCAGCAGGCAGCGATGCGATGTTGCAGATTGGAGTGTGGTAGAGTCGAGGAAAGCGAAAAAATCGTTACCGCGAAAAACTGCGACACGGGTAGCACATTCGTTACACTTCTATAATCAACAATATCCTTATATATTTCGTATATGAATGTGCACACATTCCCGTAAGGCATTAAGGTAAGAAAATATATCCTTCTTGATAATCGCTGCACTACAGCACAATGCTGTACAAAATGGGCCGTGGTTGGGTCGCACACGTTCTGTTCGTTCTTTGTGGTCTTTCGTGTCGTCAAGGTAGGTACAAAACGATAAATCTTATAACCGCACTCCACCGTGTGAAACTGTTCTGAGCCACAGAGTATGAACTGTACATGTGCGACCTGACTTCCCCCTTATTATACCATCTCTGCTACCGACCTTCTCCACCAAGCACAATAATGGTCATCTACTAGAGTTCGTTGCACGAGCACTGGATCCCCCTTCCTGATCTTGTATATCAAGTAAAGAAAGGGCAATGGCTTGTTGAAGCATCTGGATACAGCAACGAGGAACGGGACGGGAGGAATGGTGGAATGGGGTGAGACGTGGGTACATCAAGGAGGCATAAGTGTAAGGATGTGTAGGATGGTGTTGGGAATAAAAGGTTTTTGAGGCGCCTCAAAAATAAGGATGGTGTTGGGAATAAAAGGAGGATTAGAAGGGAGATCGGGTGGTGGTGGAGGGATGGAGCATGGGAAGCATGTGGGGGTTGATGAGAGAGATGCTAGACGATTATCGAAAGAAACAATTATGAAATGATGCACCTAAACAAAACAAGCGTGATGGAAGAATACAATATTTGGAAAGGGAAATTATAGGAGGTCAATAAGCTGACGTGATCAGGGGATCGATGTACACATCACAGTCATATGCATGCCGATTGCTCACCTCATCCTCATCGTAGTCATCTTCAAGTCCCGGAGTAAGCTGAAACGTTTTAGGGTAAGAAAATATCGGATGCTGTGAGATAACTTAATCTTGGAAATATTTGTTTTAACTACTATCTCAAAAACATCAACCGTGTGACGCTACAGGAGGAGACAGTATGTAAGACAATTAGTAATATGGGACGTATCAAAACCATTAGCAAGTGAGCAATACTGCACCAGCTGTTCTCCCAGGTTCAAATTGCCTCAAAAAGAGCTCGTTCCTTTTTCTGAGGCGTCTCCAAGCTAAGCTCTCATAGGCTAAAAACCTTGTTCTGAACATCTCATATTCTCTCTCACTTATTCTCTCTCCCTTCAATTTCTGTCTCTATTCTTGTTCCATCCCTCAGCTCTTCACCCTCCAAACACCTCCCCTTCTCAATTTCTCTCCTCTATCCCCCTTTCATTCTCCTCTCACCTCTCCTTCAGCCGGTACGGAGGCAGCAAACTGTGCCATGAAGCGCGCCAACTCCTCACTGCTCAAAAGACCAACTGGCCTTGCACTCACCTCTTTCCCTCTCTCCCCTCATCTCCCTCTATCCCCCCTTCTTCCTCCTCTCACCGTGCCTCTCACCTCTCCTCCAGGCGGCACGGAGGCAGCAAACTGTGCCATGAAGCGCGCCAATTCCTCACTGCTGAGTAGATCCTCAGCAGGCTGAACACAAAAAAAGGGGGAGAGGAAGCGAGGGCAGGGAGGGCAGGGTTGTGTGTGAGGGAGAAGGCAAATCCGCGGAGGCAGGACACTGTGCCATGAAGCGCCCCAACTCCTCATTGCTCAGTAGCTCGTGTGGCGACTGCAGCAAGAACATGACGACAGTGGGGAGGGGAGAGGAGACAGAGAGGGCAGGGAGGGGAGGGAGGAAAGGGAGAGGAGGGAGGAGAAGAGGGAGAGGAAAAGGGCTGATTGCTGCCCGTACGCAGGATGGAAGGGGATGCCTTTTGAGTCAAATCAATCGTCATTACTGCTCCTCTGCAACCCGTACGCAACACGAAAGGGGAAGGGAGGGGAGGCAGCCCTTGCAACACAAACAGAATCAATGCACACACAGCAAGTCAAACGCATACCTCAGCAACAGGGGGTAGGTGCTGGTAGGTGGTGTGTGGAGGGTTCAAATCGGCAGCACTGGGAGGGGCATCTGCCCTTGTGCTCCTGGCAGCACCAGCACCACCACTACCAGCACTGACTTGCGTTGACTTGCATTGACTTGCACACGCCAACATACCTCAGCAACCGGGGGTGGGCGCTGGTAGGTGGTGTGTGGAGGGTTCAAATCGGCAGCACTCGGAGGGGCATCAGCCCTTGTGCTCCTGGCAGCACCAGCAGCACCAGCAGCACCAGCAGCACCAGCAGCACCAGCAGCAGCACCAGAAGCAGCAGCAGCATGAGGCACTGGCTGTTGCGAATCAGACCCCGCAGGGATGTGACTATAAAGGGAGGTGGCGGGGGATTCCTCTATGGGGGGCGGCTGCAGCACGTTGTGCAGGAAGATGGCGGCCGAGTCGTAGAAGAAGTTGGGGCGGTGGGAGTTGTGGTCCCCCGCAAAGGTGATGAGGTTCTTGTCGCCCTGCGGGGAGGAAAAAAAAAGAGAGAGAAAGGGGAAACGGGGAAGAGAAGACGGAGAGGCAGAGAAGATGGAGAGGCAGAGAAGGGAGAATGAATGAAGTTGGGGTGGTGGGAGTTGTGGTCCCCCGCGAAGGTAATGAGGTTCTTGCCGCCCTGAGCGGGAGAGAGAGAAGCGGAGAGGAAGGGCAAACGGGGGAGAGGAAGCAGGGGATGCTGCTGTTGAAAACACGACTCAAAACGGTGAGCATAGTGAAAGAAGGGAGGCAGGGAGGGAGGGACGGAGGGAAGGAAGGGGGCCTCCTCTATGAGGGGCGACTGCAGCACGTTGTGGAGGAGGCTGCAGTCTTTTGAGTCGACTCAAAAGAAGGAAGGGGGCCTCCTCTATGAGGGGCGACTGCAGCACGTTGTGGAGGAGGCTGCAGTCTTTTGAGTCGACTCAAAAGAAGGAAGGGGGCCTCCTCTATGAGGGGCGACTGCAGCACGTTGTGGAGGAGGCTGCAGTCGACCCCCCCATAGAATATGGAGGCCAAGTAGTAGAAGAAGACGAAGAGGGAGGGGGCTCCTGCATGGAGGGTGGGGAACGAGGCCGAAGCAGTCAGTGAGGGGCATTGAGAGGCCAAGTCGTAGAAGAAGTTGGGGCGGTGGGAGTTGTGATCCCCGGCAAATGTGATCAGATTCTTGTCGCCAAGTGAAGGGAGGGAGAGGGGGGGGGGGAGAGAAGCAGGAGAGGGAAAGGGGAAACGGGGGAGAGGAAGCAGGGGATGCTGCTGTTGAAACCGCCACTGCCACTGCCACTGCCACTGCCACTGCCACTGCCTCCGCCACTGCCACTGCCACTACCACTGCCACCGCCACCGCCACTTCCAGTGGATGAAATGAAACTGCTTTATACTACATAAAACCGCACCTGATCACATAAGACAGCACCTGACCGCATACAACCACAGCTGACCTCGCCACATGCCGTACAAACCGCTTAGGCATCATGTATTTGCTGCGAGTGGTGCGGTTGAATGAAGATGTCTCCCGAGGCATGCCCAAACAGCACCGGGATGAAACTGCTTTGTGCCACATATAACCGCACCTGACCACATGTGACCGCACCTGTCCTCGGTACACATGGGGGTACCCACCGCGTAAGCCTCGTGTATTTGTTGCGAGTGGTGCGGCAGAATGAAGGTGTCCCCCGATGCATGCCCAAACAGCACCGGGATAAAGCTGCTCTTAACTACACATGACCGCACCTGACCACATCCAACCGCACAAGGCCTCACTATATGTGCAAGCACATGCACCCACCGCGTAAGCTTCATGAATTTGCTGCGAGTGGTGCGGAAGAATGAAGGTGTCTCCCGATGCATGTCCAAACAACACCGGGATGAAGCTGCTCCTCGCCACTCCCACGGCATCTAAATCGTTGATGTCAAAATCCGGTATCTTCTTCTTGATCAAATTCCTCAAGTAATACACGAGCATCTTCACCTGTGGGTGGGGAGAGGGTGAAAGTAAGGCAGGACAAAGAGGAACTAAAAAGGCATGAAGCTGCTCCTCGCCACTCCCACGGCATCTAAATCGTTGATGTCAAAATCCGGTATCTTCTTCTTGATCAGATTCCGCAGGTAGTATACCAGCATCTTCACCTGTGGTGTGTGGGGGGACGGTCACACAGCAGCACAGCAGCAAAGCAGCCCCAAGAGGGGATCAAATGAAGCTGCTCCATGCCAATCAAGTTGTTGATGCCAAAGTCAGCCTAGGTCGCCCAACATATGGTCATTTTACTGACTGGCAACTCACTGACTGGCACCTACGCATCTTTGCGGGGGCGCCTCAACTCAAGTAGCCAAATTTTGCTTCTTGAACAAATAAACAAACAAACAACACCGCGAACTCAACTAGCAAAATTTTCCAGCTGACCGTGAATTTGGGCAGCTTGATCTTGAAGGTGTCCACGAGCTCCAGAATGAGGTTGGGCAGGTTGGAAAACGGGCTGTCCAGCACCATCCCCGCTATAGACAGATCCTTTGCTGCGTACATAAGGCTGGAGAATGTACGTGAGAAAATCAAATAGAAAGAAAAGCGGGGAAAAAGAGGGGGATGGGGAGGGGAGAGAGGACAGCACTTTAACACGCGGTTCGGCACCGTCCCCGCTTTAGACAGATCCTTGGCTTCATACATAAGGCTAAGACAGGCATGTGGGAAAAAACAAAAGGCCCCCAAACAGACATATGCATGACAGAAAGCCTTCCACTTCTCCTCACTGGCCTAGACTAGACCGTCCCCCCCAACCCATTGCTTCCCCCCAACCCATTGCTTCCCCCCAACCCATTGCTTGCCCCCAACCCATTGCTTCCCCCCAACCCATTGCTTGCCCCCAACTATACATGGGCAACGAGCCGAACCGAGTTTTACTCGGCTCGTCCCCAGGCACACTCGTACGAGCTTTGTTCCGAGCCGAGTTTTGCTCGTACGAGCTTTTTCCGGGCAAATGCAAGCTCGTGGCTCGGGTAAATAGCACGAGCTTTTCAAAAGCTCGTCCGAGCTTCAAGGTAAGCTCGGTCGAGCCGAGGGAAGCTCGGCTCGTTGCCATATACATGCACGAGCTTTTAAAAAAGCTCGTCAGCGCAACGAGTGCTCGGCGAGTTCTAAAAACTCGCCGAGTTAAACTCGCCTCGGCTCGGACGAGTTTTTTTCAGGGAAAATCACACTCGTCACTTGCCCTCGAACGAGTGCCTCGTACGAGCCGAGGCGAAAAACTCGCCTCGGTGCCCATGTATACCCCCAACCCATTGCTTCCCCCCAACCCATTGCTTGCCCCCAACCCATTGCTTCCCCCCAACCCATTGCTTCCCCCCAACCCATTGCTTGCCCCCAACCCATTGCTTGCCCCCAACCCATTGCTTGCCCCCAACTCATCAGCCCCATCAGAGGCACAGAGCCCTCGGCCATTTCCCCTACTCTACCCCCTACCGCTTCCTGTGCTCTCGCATAGCAAACCCCTTCTCATGTTTCCATCCACGCCACTCACGAGGTAACAGCCCCCATTGACTGCCCCAACAGCCCTACAAGCGACACAGAGCCCTAGGCCTTTTCCCTACTCTACCCCCTATGCAACCAAGCAACCCCCGTTCTCATCCTCCTTTCTTCCTTGACTCACGAGGTAACAACACCCATCGACCGCCCCCACAGCCCTATTAGCAACACAGAGCCATAATCCCTTGCCCCCAGCCTTGATTCTTTTCTCACTCACGAGGTGACAGCCCCCATCGAACGTCCCCACAGGCCGATGAGCGACACAGAGCCCTCGGCTCGTAGATGGTCCACCACTGTTGAGAGGTCCTCCATCTGAGCATGAGGGGAGGGGAGAGGAATGAAGAGGAGAGAAGGGCAGCAGAGAAGCAGAGGGGTAGCAGCAATAGAGCATGAGCGTGAGGGCAGCGACACATTGGCTCATAGATGGTCCACCACTGCTGAGAGATCCTCCATCTGAACATGAGGGGAAGGGAGACGAGAGGAGAGGAGGAGATGAGGCGAGGAGCAGAAGCAAGAGGTTGTTAGAGTAGAGGGATGCTAGAGTGAGAGAAGCGACACAGAGCCCTCTGCTCGTCGATGGTCCACCACTGTTGAGAGGCCCTCCATCTGAACATGTGGGAGGGAACAAATTGGGGGGAGGTGGAGCAGCAAGAGTGGATGAATGAGAAGCAGAGCAGGACCAAGAACTAGAGGAAGGTGACAAACTTCCCTCCGACCCGTATAGATGGTTCACTGTTGTTGCTCCTCTGTTTCTCCGCACCTCTGTTCCTCTGCTCCTCTTCTTCTCTGTTCCTCTGCCTCTATTCTTCCCTCCTTTTTTGCTTCTCCCCCTCTCTCCACGTGTTCAGATGGAGGAGCAGAGGAGCAGAGGAGTAGATAAGCAGAGAAACAAAGAAGCAGAGAAGCAGAGGAAAAGAGGAGCAGAGAAGCAGAGAAGCAGAGGAACAGAGGAGCAAAGGAGCAAAGCAACGACTGTGATGCTGGCAAGCTGGTACGTTCCACGTCACGTCTGGTATCCTACCAGGGGTTTTGTGTTTGCGTGACATGAGACGATTTCTGACGCGCCTAAAAACATGCACCCTACCATGGGCTTCGTGATTGCCTGGCAACCTGGTAAGGTCCAACCCAACTACACTTATACAGAATAAAAACCCTCTTCATACTTTGAACCTCCCCAGGGTAACAGTCCCCTAGGGACATGCCTGATCCCGAGAAGTCGAGAGCAAAGACAGTGTGATGTTGGATGGGGGGCAAGATACACACATGTCACGTACCCTCGCCTCGTGTAAAAAGTGAGTTTTTGAGACGTCTCAAAAAAGATACACACATGCCACGGACCCTCGCTTCGTGTAAAAAGTGACTTTTTGAGACGTCTCAAAAAAGATACACACATGCCACGGACCCTCGCTTCGTGTAAAAAGTGAGTTTTTGAGACGTCTCAAAAAGATACACACATGCCACGGACCCTCGCTTCGTGTAAAAAGTGAGTTTTTGAGATGTCTCAAAAAAGATACACACATGCCATGGACCCTCGCCTTCCCGGTAGGTCCAACGACCCTCATACAGAACAGAAACTTTCTTCTTACCTCGAATCTGCCCAGCGTGACATAGTCCCCTAGGGACATGCCTGATCCCGAGGAGTCAAACACGCCTCTGAATCCTTTGCAGTCCTTGCGTAAGAAAACCCGCTTACCTCGAATCTGCCCAGCGTGACATAGTCCCCTAGGGACATGCCTGATCCCGAGGAGTCAAACACGCCTCTGAATCCTGTGCAGTCCTTGCATAAGAAAACCCGCTTACCTCGAATCTGCCCAGCGTGACATAGTCCCCTTGGGACATGCCTGATCCCGAGAAGTCGAGCGCAAAGACTGTGATGTTTGATGGGAGGAGCACAAACACTGCTTCACTGGCGTCGGCACGGCAGCCACTGGTGGGGGGAACGGGAGGTGAAGGAACAGAAAGGGAAACGAGTGTGGAAAAGGGGTGAGGGAATGTCTAAGGCAAGCACAGCACAGTTACTGAAGAGAGAGTGAAAAACGGGCGGGAAAATGTTCAAGGCTCTGAAGAGGCGGTGATGTTGGACGGGAGCCGCACAAACACGGCTTCACTGGCGTCGGCACGGCAGCCACTGGTGGGGTTGAAGAGAGAGGAGCGTAAGAAAGCGCGGAATCACTGTGGAAGAGGCTGGTTGGCAGAAATTGGACAGAATAATCTGGATAGCAGAATTTGGACGGCAAACCTTGGACAAAAGGATCTGGACACCAAACATTTGGATGGCATAATCAGGACAAAGAGCAACAAAGAGGGAAGCAAGCAGCAGCCACACCTGTTCCCATGGCAGTAGATGACACATGGCAGCTTCTGATTGGGCGGGACGTGGGCCGGCATGTAGTGACTGCATTCTAGTACGTGGCCTCTGCTATTTACAAGCTGAGAGCGCGGAGAGAAGAGAAGGGGGGTGGGGGGAGGGGAAGGAGAGAGAAGGTGGGGTGGTATAGGGGGAAGGATGAGAGAGGGTGGGTGGGAGGGGGGGGGGAGGGGGGATTTTGCCCGATAATAATTGCACTCTAGCACGTGGCCTCGGCTATTTACAGGCTGAGACGGGGAGAGGGGGGTGGGGAAGAATGAGAGGTGACAGGTGGGAGAGAGTGGTGGGGCGAGGGAGGGGGAGAGAGGAAAGGGGGGGAGAGGGAGGAGGGGAGAGGGGGAGAGGGAGGAGGGGAGAGGGGGAGAGGGAGGAGGGGAGAGGGAGGAGGGGAGAGAAGAAGAAGGGGAGAGGGAGGGGGGGAGAGGTAAGAGGGGAGAGGGATGATGGAAGAGGGAGGAGGGGAGAGGGAGGGGGGAGAGGGGGGGGGGGGGGAGAGGGAGGAGGGGAGGGAGGGGGGGGGGAGAGGGAGGGGGGGGGAGGGAGAGGGAGGGGGGGAGATGAAAGGGGGTTGTTTGCCAATAAGGACTGCATTCTAGCACGTGGCCTCGGGGTATGGGAGCAGGAGGAGAGGGGAGAAGGAGGGTGGGGGATGGATGGGGGGACGAGTGGGGGAGAGTAAGCATGGGAGAGGAAGAAAACGGTATTCTGCTAGTGAACCTAGTTAACTGCAGGCTGGAGCGCACTGAATCCCCGTACGCCCTTAAGTTAACCTAGTATCACTAATGAATTCACTGCTGTAGCACCACAGTCGCTCGCACCCGAAGGTCGTGGCGGCGGCACGGCAGTATTGCCTTCAAAAGTCTAGAATCCCCAAAAGAGATTTAATCTGGTATATCACTAGTGAATTTGGGAATCACTATTGAGAATTCTCAATAGTGAATTTTCTGCTGTAACACCACAAGTGCACCTGAAGGTCGTGGCGGCGATACTGCCTCCCCCTGAGAGCAAAGAGCGGCCCCACAAGGTCTGTCTGTACTGAATACTCCGCACTGTGCCGTGGGTTGGAAGAGGGGGGGGGAGTGGACGGAAGGAAGAGACGGGTTTTGAGACGCCTCAACACTCTCCGGAGTGCAAAGAGCGGCCCCACAAGGTCTGCCTGTACTGAATACTCCGCACTTTGCGGTATGGTGGAAGAGGGGAGGGAGGGAGGGGGGGAGGAGGGAGGGCAGGATGAAGGGAGGGGTTTAGAGGCGCCTCGGAACTCCCCTGAGCGCAAAGAGCGGCCCCATTAGGTGTGTCTCGACTGAATACTCCGCACTGTGCGTAAGGGGGGAGGAGGAGGAGAGAAGGGAAGGTAGAAGTAAGGGGTTGTGTGGTGCCAGGGGTTGTGTGGTGCTTCAAAACTCCCCTGAGTGCAAAGAGCGGCTCCGTCAGGTGTGTCTCTAGTGAGTACTCTGCACTGCGTGGTGGAGGGAGGAGGAGGAGGGAAGGGAAGGTAGAAGTAAGGGGTTGTGCGGTGCCTCAGATCTCCCCTAAGCACAAAGAGCCGTCCCACCACGTGCATGTCAACTGAATACTCCGCACTGTGCGTAAGGGGGGAGAGGGGGGATGGGGGGGAAGGGGGGAAGGGGGAAAAGGTTTTTGAGGCGCCTCAAAACTCCCTTGAACGCAAAAAAACGGCCCCACCAGGTTTGTCTCTAGTGAATACTCCGCACTGCGCGGGAGTGAAAGGGAGAAATGGGGAGGGAGGAGCGAGCGAGGCAAGAAGCCGAGACAGGCTTTACCCAAAAGCGCTTCCCGTTGGGTACCAGGAAGGCCGGCTAGCCAGATTCAGGATCTGACCCGATATAGCTGGCAAGCGGATGCTAGTAACGGGTATATCTCTACCGAATCCAGGATCGACAAACCGTACGCTGGGAGGCCGGATTAGGAGGTTCAAGATCTGATCCAACATGGCTGGCAAGCCAAGGCGTGGCTGCTAATAACGGGTATACCTTTTACCAAATCCAGAAACGACAAAACGTACAGAGTAGGCCGGATGACCAGGTTCACGATCTGATCCACCATGGCTGGCAAGCAGCTGCTAATAACGAGTCTACCTTTTACCGAATCCAGAAACGACAAACCGTACTGAGGAGGCCGGATGACCAGGTTCACGATCTCATCCAACATGGCTGGCAAGCCGAGGCGTTGTTGCTAATAACGGGTATATCTCCTAAATAATCCAGAAACGACAAATCTTACCGAGGAGGCCGGATGACCAGGTTCACGATCTCATCCAACATGGCTGGCAGGCCAAGGCGCGTCTGGGGCCTCCGCGAAGTTGGTGTTGCTTTTGAGAATCCTCAAAAAGAGCCTCCGCAAAGTAATTTTGAGACAGTCTGAAACTCTGGAGGGGCCTCCGCGAAGGATCCGCAAAGATATGAGTCGAGCTCGACGAGCTACGAAATGATTCTCACACCCGTCTGAACGCCGCTGGGACCAATCAGATTGCGCCAGGCCAGCTCCGCCACATACGCCACGTGGCAGAGGTTGATAGGGATACACGAGCGCGTGTAGGTTGACTGAGACGTTCGAGTAGGGCTATTGGGTCAACCACAAAATCACCACTGTAGATCTTTTCTGAGAAGGCTCAAAAGCATATCCACAGGGACCGTGCAGGTTTTCCTGCTATTTTACTCTCTATTTTTTCTCACAAGCGCCGCTTCGCGAGGTGACTCAGTTGTCGGGAATATTGATATAGGAAAACCTTTTATTTCTGGCAACTCATATTTGTAACGGAAGGAAAACCTTTTATTTCTGGCGGCTCATATTTGTAACGGCATGCCAAGATAGGCAAGAGGATTAAACGCAACAACTGGACCTGTCACCAAGTACTCGTCATGTTGACATTAGGACTGTTGATATCTCCTTCCATAAAACTGTTCAAACTCGGTTTTAAACAAGAGCAGAGTCTTATGAGACACCTGTGATACCGCGTCGCAGACTGCAGTCTGAATCAGTATGAAGGAGCGGCAAAAGTGAAGGTGGGAGCTGTTGGTGAAAAGTCTTCCCGCTCACCTGTTTCGAACAACTCGAGCACCAACATGGATGAGGCTACACACGTAAGGTTGCATTTCTCATCTATGGAATTCGTAAGTCACAAGCCCTGGCTGTAGTTTCTCTAAGTAATTTCTGCTGCCCGTTTTGTTCTGTTCGTTTCAGTTTCAGTTTCTCTTTGTCTGGTTCAGTTTTTTTTGTACGCCACTGGTTGTTCCGAAGCGACAGAGCACGGCCTCGATTTGGAGGTTTGGATTTGTCTTGGTGTCGCTGGTGAAAGAGGTTCGAGACTTGTGTCAGACTGGCTTCTAAAGGGTATGCTTCAAATTTGGCTGGTCTGAATTATTTGGTTTGTCATGCCATGCTCCCGATGTTGACCGCAATGGACTATCTTGCACCCGACAGAACCTCTGTGAGTCGGACAAGCGTACGCTCTATAAGGATCCTGGTTACAGAACAAATTAAAATAGCTCAAGTCACCTCCAGTTTAGAACTGGTGCATCTCAGCTCCGAAAAAGAATTGGGCATCTCTTCGCAAAATGAAAGCACAGGCTTAGAGCTATGTTAGAGTTGATCAAGGTATTCTGATGCAACAGTTGTTTTCGATGTGTTCAATGCTAGCTGTCAAAACGAAAGTTCCAGTGCCTAAATTTTCAGGTTGAGAGGGAGAAACATCAATCGCATGTGATACATTGAAAAATCGATGTGGCTGCACACAAAGCAGCAGAGGGAGGTGGCATAAGAGCTAAGGGGGTCAATCTAGTTGACGCCGCACAAGCCCCTAACTCCCCACGAATTACTCACCATGAGAATACTAATCACTCACCACGAGGCTGAAGCTGTTGTATTTGCATGGCATGACTGGCCAATCCTCTAGTCTCAGCACGTGGACTGATGCCCTTGAAGCGCGTCACAAGCCACCGACTCACCTTCAGAGCAACCCATTCACTCACCACGACGTTGAAACCAATGTACTCGCATGGCATGACAGGCCAATCCTCCAGCCTCTGCACGTGCGTGAGTCCAAACACATACCTTCACATCACAAGGGGATGAGCATGGAAAGTGGGAACGGAAAACAAGGGTACGAAGCTATTGTCACACCCCTTGTTCAGACAAACCTCTGGAATAATGTGGGTACGTGGTGGGGAGAAGGGGCATCAGCGTCACAACAGTAGGCTGGTACTCGCCATTAAGAAAGCACCACTCACCGAAGCACCGCTCAACAAAGCATCACTTACCAGAGCACCACATACCAGAGCACCACTTATCAAAACACCACTTGCCAAAGTACTACTTACCAGAGCACCACGTTAGCATTGTCAATTGATCTGTTCTTCTGCAACCACGAGGACAGCCCGTCGCCGAACCTGGGGTTCTGGTTCGGGAACTTGCCACCCAGAAACCGTTCCTCCGAGTGGTACGGCGTGACCCACAGGTTGTGCTTCAGGAAAGCTGCCCAGCGGAGAAATTTCGCATTGGGCTGCACGAAGGGCAGACATTTGGTCCCTGGCATGAGCTTGTAGGCGGTGGGTCGACCCGCCCGGTTGACTGCCCAAGTGTTTTGGATCTGCTTGTGTGCTGGGAGGAAGAAAGGTTTGTCCCACATAGAAACGGGCAAACCGAGAAATGGGAGAAGTGACAAGTTCATGGAAAACAAGCCAGTGGCGGGCATGGCACTTGTTGAAGACATGCAGTGATGTTCCGGAAATTGATTTAATCAAGCGGCAAATGTGCATTGTCTTTCAATCTGTGGGTTGGTGGATCTTGATGCCTGTGGAACTCCCTCAGTCACTCCTGCGAAGAATATTATTCTACGGGAGAGCTTGACTAGCGTGGGACACACAGTCAGAGTTCTGGCAGTGATTCTCAGGAGTGAACTTAGTTGCCTTGGTAGAATTTAAGCATAGTTTCCTCCCGTTCCTGTTTCCTGATCTCGCCTCGTTTGAGCGCTCTGCTGACTTGATCGCTCACCTCCGCTCGCTCGACGCTAGTTACCGCGCTGCTTGCACTGAGGCACAGCTTGCACTGCTTCCTCCCCCCATGGCGATTACTATCTATTTCATCGCCACTAGCCTCCCTGACCGCCTTGCCTCCGTTCGTGACGTGCTTCTGCTGAAGCACCCTAGTGAGCTCACCGTCGAGGTCCTTGAGTCTGCGCTCAAGGACGTCGAGAGCAACCTTCGCTCGGTAGCTGCCGCCTCTGGTGCTGTGCCCCCACCACTCTTCCACGGGTGCACAGTCCCGCAGTTACCCACCTTCACTGCCTCTCTCGCCACTGCCGCTACTGACGCGACTGCAGCTGCTGTTACGACTGCGTCGCGGTCCCGCGGCAGGGGGGGCAAGAAAGGTGGTTCTGGTGGAGGTGGAGGTGGAGGTGGAGGTAGCGGAGGTAGTGGGGTTGCTATTGCGACTGGCGGTGGTGGGAGTGCAGCGTCTGGAGAGACCTCTCGTGCAGCGGCTGGTGACTCCACTGCGCCTGCTGGTGGTGGCGACACCCGAGCTCGTCAGTCGCCTCCTGTACTGCCGGCCCCGCTAGGTGGAGCAGCGGCGCGTGGTACCAGGCTCAGCAGCTTCAGCAGCAGCAGCAGCCCCTCTCCTCCCAGCAGCCTCAGCAGCAGCAGCGGCAGCAGCTGGCTCCGGGGTCGGGGCTGCGTCAGCCCCAGCGCGGTGCTGCTTACCCTCCCTGCACCTATCAGGTTCTGACAGGTCCTCGTCGGGGCCACCCTTGTGGCCGCTTTCACCCCCCTGGTCAGTGCTTTGCTCAACTCATTGACACGGTCCGGTTGGCCTACGGGGCTGGCAGTCCTGCCCTTGACTGGCTTCCTCTGGTTCAGCGCTACGGCTCCGCTCTGTGGGGCATGTCTGCTGAGCAGTTAGTTGATCTGATTGGTGCTCCTCATGCTATGTATGTTGTTGTTGACTCTAGTGTTTCTGACTCTGTTTACTCGAGTGTTGTTAGCTTAGGTGCTAGTCTTGCTCAGTTGCCTGTTGCTAGTGTAGGTTCTTTTGTAGGCTCTAGACCAGCGGCTACCTCGGAGGACGCTTCGCTGTCGTTCACGCTGGACTCTGGAGCCTCACACTGCTTCTTCCGTGACAGCACGACACTTACACCACTTCCTGCGCCTGTTTCTGTGGCGTTGGCTGATCCCACCTCGGGACCAGTCATTGCGCATCACATTACCACCTTGCCGTGTCCTGCTGCTCCCTCCGGGTCTCTCACTGGGTTTCACGTCCCCTCGTTCTCCCGGAACTTGGTGGGCGTGCGACCCCTCGTGAGTCAGCACGTGGGTGTGTGGTTTAGCGGAGAGACTGCGGTGTGTGTTGACGGAGACTCTTACCAGCCGCTGGCCACCTTTACTGCTGAGCCGGGCTCCGGTCTCTACACTCTTCACACTGGCCCGCTGGCGCAGCAGCAGCCGCAGCAGCAGCAGCACCAGCAGTAGCAGCAGCAGCAGACGCCGAAGCAGCCGCAGCAGCAGCCGCTCCTACTGCCCCTGGCCCCTTTACCACCCTCCCTCTCACCGGTTCTTTGACTCCCGTGACGTCCGTTTCGAGGAGTCCACCCCCTACTACGTCAGGTACCCCAGTCGAGGTCTCCCGGTCCCTCCCCCCCCTCTCTTCCTGACCGCCGCTCCCCCGCCTGCTCCCCCGGTACAGCCTCCCCCCCCTGGTCCAGCCCCGTCCGGTGTGTCCCAGGCTACCCCTCCCCCTTCGGTAGCCCCTCCGGTACAGCCTCCCTCCCCACAGTCTTCCTCGCCGCGTCCTGCAGGTGCTCGCTCTAGAGAGGTTGGTACTGAGACTGTCCCTGTACCGGTTTCTGGTTCTGGGGGTGCTGGAGTTGGAGCTGAGCCGCGGGTTGCAGAGGACTCTTGTCTTCCGGGAGCTGGTGCTGGTCGTGCGGAGTCTGGGGGTGCTGCGTCTGGGGGTGAGGGTGACCCCCCTTCGGTTTCTGGTGAGCCTGGGTCTGGAGCTGGTGTTGGTGCTGCCTCTGGGGGTGGTGTGCCTGGTGCTTCGGAGGTAGACTTTGGGGCTGCCGCTGCCCCGGACACTACTCCTTCCCCCCACCCCTACCCGACCAGGTTCCAGGCTCGTGTTCGCCGTGCTCGTGAGGAGCAGCTGGAGTTGGAGAGAGAGGAGCGAGAGTTGCAGCGGCTCGAGGAGCAGGAGCGACAGCAGCACGAGTAGCAGCCGCTGGAGCAGCAGGAGCCGCAGCAGCCGCAGCAGCCCCAGCAGCAGCAGCAGCAGCAGCAGCAGCAGCAGCCGTCTCCTCCTCCTGTCTCGGGTCTTCGGACCCTTGGTCTCCCCTCTCGCTCTCCTTCCTCCTCCCCCTCTCCTCCCATCTCTGGTCCTCCGCTTCCTCCTCCTGACCCCTCTCCCGCTGTTTTCCCTCGTTCTCAGTCTTCGTTGTCCCCTCCTCCTTCTCAGACTTGGGCCTCTCGTCGCTCCCCTCGTGCTCGTCCCTCGTCTCCTGTTCCCTTCACTGACCTTCGTACTGCCTTACTTTGTTCTCGTCCACCTCGACCGTCTCCGTCTGTGCTTCCGTCTCCTCCTGAGTCTGCCCTCACTGCGTCGCTTCCTACTCCTGTCATTGACTACTACCGCACGTACCGTCCTGTTCTCTCTCGTGTTCTCGCCTCTCTTGTTACTCACCCTCGTGCCTCTCTGTCCTCTGTGTCCGCTCTTACTGCCGCAGTCACTGAGTTTGCCTCTACCCGCCGCCTTGACTTCGCCACCGGTCTTGTGGCTGCTCCTCCTTCCAGTCCTCTGGTCGTCGGGGGTGTGTCTGCCCTTGGCTGTGACGCCCTAGAGGACAGGCAGTTTGAGCTAGAGTTCCTGGCGGCTGCTTCCCCTCATCTCTGTGCCATGCTCCTCGCCCTTGAGGGTGACCCCGACGCCCTTGACATTCCGACTCCTCGCACTTACGCTGAGGCAGTGTCAGGGCCTTGGGCCTCTCAGTGGAGAGCTGCCATGGACGCAGAGATGGCCTCCTACAGATCCACAGGCACCTATGTCGATGAGGTTCCCCCCCCTGGGGCGAACGTAGTCGCCAGCATGTGGATCTACAGGGTGAAGCGGCCACCGGGATCTCCCCCGGTCTTCAAGGCGCGCTACGTGGCTAGAGGTTTCAGTCAACGCGAGGGAGTTGACTTCTTTCAGACCTTCGCACCTACCCCGAAGATGACCACTCTTCGGGTGTTACTACACGTAGCAGCACAGAGAGACTACGAGTTACACTCTCTCGACTTCTCCACTGCTTTCCTTCAGGGCAGCCTACACGAGGAGGTCTGGCTGCGTCGTCCCTCGGCCTTCACTGGCACTTTCCCTCCTGGGACCCAGTGGAGGCTGAGGCGACCTGTTTACGGTCTTCGCCAGGCCCCTCGTGAGTGGCACGACACTCTGCGTTCTACCCTCTCTGACCTTGGGTTCCAGCCGTCTTCTGCCGACCTGTCGATGTTCATTCGTCGTGGCTCCACACCGTTCTTTGTTCTGGTCTACGTCGACGACCTCGTTTTCGCCACTCCGGACAGGGTTGCTTTGGCAGACGTGAAGTCCGAACTGCAGAAGAGACACACGTGCACTGACCTTGGTGAGCTGCGCCACTACCTTGGCCTGCAGATCACCAGGGACAGAGCTGCTCGCACCATTACACTCTCACAGTCACACATGGTGCAGCAGGTCCTTCAGCGGTTCGGGCTTCAGCACTCCACAATACAGCGCACACCTCTTGCTGTTGACCACAGACTCACTGGTCCCTTTCCTGACGAGCCGTTTGAGCCTAGTGGTCCCTACGCAGAGCTTGTGGGTTGCCTCATGTACCTGATGACGTGTACTCGCCCGGACCTCGCCTTCCCTCTCAGCATCCTTGCGCGCTTTGTTGCGCCAGGGAGACACCGTCCTGTTCACTGGACGGCAGCTGTGAGGGTGGCGAAGTACCTAGCGACTACATCAGGCGTGGGGCTAGTTCTTGGAGGGCAGCAGTCTGTCGTACTCACTGGTCACTGTGACTCCTCTTACGCTGACGACGCTGAGACTCACATTTCTACTCAGGGGTACTGTTTCAGCCTAGGTTCTGGAGCTGTTTCCTGGCGTTCCACGCGCTCCTCTTCTGTCTCGACCTCTACAGCTGAGGCTGAGATCTACGCTGGTGCCATGGCGGCACAGGAGTTGCGTTGGTTGACCTTCTTGCTCG